CATCCCCACAGACCACGGACCAGCCGGACATAGACCACTGAAAAATATCAGTAATATTAGCAAATATATCAAACAATGAGCATTATCAAAAATACCTGGTAAATGTCGACATCTAAATCCTCAACCAAATGTGAAAAATTTGGAACAGCACGCTCAGTCCGTTGATCAGCACGAATACGAGTACGAAAAGTAAATTCCTTTCCACTCAAATGAAAAGAACTACATAAAGACGTTGCAATAATAAGAATAGCCTTCCTCTTCATATTTTTTCTTGATTCCGTAGTAAAATCTAACTTCGCAGTACTAAAGTCGAAATCAGCTACCAGAGTTCCTGGTACTGGCAGTGGAACCTTAACTTGGTTTGACTTCAGTTCCTTGAAAACAGCATCAGTTAACTTCATCGATTTCCCAACATTATTGAAATATGTCGGAGAATTATCAGGCATGAATTTTGATACTTCAAAGATTGAACTCCAATGACCTAGTAAAGCAAAATAATTAAGGAAAGATCATCATTTAATACATTTCCAAAGAACATACAAAACGGGCGGTCGCCTTCATTTAAGTCCAGTCCCAAATTAAATTGAAGAATCTCCTCGTCTCCAAGACCAGCGATTGCCCCGGTTTGATCTTTTGAAGTACCAGCCATCTCATCAACAACAGCAGGAATACAAGGGATTCTCTCCACCTGTTCACTTGGCCCCAAATCCACTACGGATATATCATAATAGGTTAAAAATAAAGCTGAAAATTCTAAAAATTAAAAAGAGTTAAAAATAATCCACACCTAAATCAGAAGATTCAGAAATAACTTCCAAATGTTCGTTTGAAGATCCTTCAGATATCTCAGCTCCTTTCTCTGATAAAGGTAAGTCCGCTGGCGTGGGAATGGTCAAATGTCCGCACCAAATCTTCTTTAAGGATTCAAATCCACCGATGTTCAAAGTAACGCCCCCGATCCTTGCTTCACAATGATCGTCTGATAAATTATAAAAAAAAA